GGGCGAGCGGGGCGCCGGCGGGGGCGGGGCGCTGGCCCGGGAGCGCTTCAAGGTGGTCTTTGCGCCGGTGATCTGCAAGCGGACCTGTCTGAAGGGCCAGTGTCGGGACAGCTGTCAGCAGGGCTCCAACATGACGCTCATCGGAGAGAACGGCCACAGTACAGACACGCTCACCGGCTCTGGCTTCCGCGTGGGTGAGGGCCTGGGGGGCTCCAGCTGGGGGGATGTCGGGTAGATCAGGCACAAGGACCAGGCAGGATACATAATGCAGCACTGGGCATAAGAGACGGGAAGCTGACGTACAGAGATCCAGAGATCGGGGTCCCCGAGGATCATGGGGGCTTGAGAGCTGCCATCCTGGAGGCCAGAATAGGGGGGCTCCATGGAAGACTGGATTTTGAAGCCTTGGGTTAGAGTTGGGGCCTAGGCTGGGGTCCTGGATGACACAGGCTTCCTGGAAGGTGCTAAGTTGTAAAAGGGAGCCCATGGGGGGTTTGAGAGGTGTGAGCAGGAGCAGGAAGTCCCAGAGAAGGGGGTAAATATTTCCCCAAGAGACAAAAGTCTTTTAAAATGGTCTACTCTTGGCCTGCTGGGAGGAGACACCTGTGTTCTCTGGGAGGAGGAGCCAAGGTCAGGACTAGGGTGAGGGAGTTAGTTATTGGCAAAGTCTGAGATGGGAATGCTTTGAGGCCTAAGAAGTAGAGTGGAGTGCATGCCTGGTAGAGGGGCCAGTTTTGGTCCTCAATCAGCTCCGTTTCCTAGGTCATCCTTATCTGTTAGCTCAGATATTCTCAGAGCTGTGCCCCATGATGACTCCAATGGGTCAGCTCAGAGCCCACTCCTTCCTTAGCATCTCTTCAAAATGCAGGCTTGGGGCTCAGGACTCCTCCCCTAGGGCCCTATGGGCCAGGCAAGGGGGGAGGTGTCCCAGCAGTAATTACCCTCCTGGACAGGGTAATTAGGCCGTGCCCAGGATGGCACCAGTCAAACAGCCCCTCTCACACATTCTTATGTTCACTCACCCACTCCAGACCTAAGGAACCCCACTCATGTGGTTCACAGTTCTCACAAGATGGGGGGGGCGGTCCGTGTATGGGGCAAGCAAGCACAGACTTTGGCATGGGACACAATGATTAGTCCGTGTTTCTGTTTTGTTGTCTCGGGTGTGTGTCTGCAGTCACTGTCCGGGAGTGTTTACATAGTGAATCTGTGTTTGTGTCAGAATGAGTCTGTGTGTGTGATGAAATGACTGTGCATGTGAGTGCATGTATGTATGCCCAGCCTCTCAAGGGACTCCTGGTCATCCTGCGCAGCCTGCTGTCTCCATCCATGCTGCCCACATCCCCCAGGCTCAGTGCCCAGGCCACAGTGGGCGGGTGTCACTGGGAGGTCACCCTCACCACTATGGGTGACTCACTGGGAGGCAGGAAGGAGAGGATCCTGCCTCCCTCAGCCCAGGACACACCTCTTCTGCCCTGTGAAGCCTGGTCTCAAGAGGACAGGCAGGATGGGCTGGGCTGGGCTGGGATGCTCTTAGCCTATCCTGATGGTCAGGGATAGATTAGTGCTGTCCTTGTCCAGGAGAACAGCACAGTCACCTTCCCACCCTGGGAAACAGAGCAGGCTAGAGAAGGGTTAGGGATGGAACTCAGACCCGTGCATGACTAGACACACATGTCCAGGGTGAGTAAGTGAGAAGCACAGAGGTTTCACTTTTATTTAATCCCTCCTCTGGGACACAGAGATGAGACCCACCAGGCCGTGCCCTCAAAAGCAGCTTTTATGGTGGGAGAGACAGATATGACTACAATTAAGAAAATGCCAGCCAAGCTGGACAGAGGATGGAGAGGAAAGTGTGAGGTACAAGGAGAGACACTAGACCCAGAAGGGTCAGATTTGGACAAGCAGAGACAGTAAAGGGCTCTGAAATCAAGGGATGGGAAAGAAGAAAACCATAAGGCATTAGTAGGGGGTAGATGAGCCCTGGGTCACAGCTGTACAAAGGAAGAGCAGAGGAAGGTGGGCCAGGAGAAGGTATGGACTGTGGATAGCCTCAGATGTTCAGGCAAGGATTAAAACAATAAGAGGGGTAAGGTTTCAGAGGAGTGACATGCTAGAGCTTTGCCTGAGGCAGGTGTCTCCAGGCATTCTGGGATTATGAACAGACAGAAGAGAAGCAGAGGCTGCAGAACCTGAGCCAGCAGGGGCAGAGGCCCTGAGGATCAACAGAGGGGTTCTTGGACACTGCAGAGGCTGTAACTAGAGGGGAACGTGGAGCCCGAGTTATATGTGGCTTAACAGGCAAGAATTCCCAGTGGTGAGCCAAGGTGGAAAGGGGTGCTGATTCCTGACAATGTCCTGGGTCCAGATCCTGGTGAGGTTAGAGATGGGATGTCATTGGCAGCTTATGAGCCCTGAGGTAGGGAACAGAATGGATGGAGAGAACAGGAGGATGAGCCAAGAGAGACGGCTGAGACCTGAATTAAGGGGAGAGAGTTTGTGCTGCCAGTTATTCCGTACACAGTGTCACACAGTGTCACACAGTGTCACAAGCATCTGTGTAGGCATTGCCTCATTTTAGGGAACATTGCCAGAGATGTGGGTCCTGAGCCACGGGCAGGGGAAGTAAGTGCCTCAAGATCAGACATAGAGCATATGGCCTAGCTGGGATTTAAGATGGGAATTTAAGATTCTAGGCTCAGAAGGCAATGTCCATGTGTGTGACAAGTTACCAAAATCAGCTTCCCAGTTAGGATCAGGCCAGTGGTTGGCAACAGGGAGACAGGATGTGGGTGATGATGGCCTAGGCCCTGATCCACCTCCTCTCCCCAGTGGTGTGCCCTCTACCATGCATGAATGGTGGCCAGTGCTCCTCCAGAAACCAGTGCCTATGCCCTCCGGACTTCACGGGGCGCTTCTGCCAGGTGCCTGCTGGAGGAGCTGGAGCTGGCACCAGCAGCTCAGGCCCCGGACTGGGCCGAACCGGGGCCCTATCCACAGGCCCGCTGCCGCCCCTGGCTCCGGAGGGCGAGTCTGTGGCCAGCAAGCATGCCATCTACGCGGTGCAGGTGATCGCGGATCCTTCCGGGCCGGGGGAGGGACCCCCTGCTCAGCACGCAGCCTTCCTGGTGCCCCTGGGGCCAGGACAGATCTCAGCGGAAGGTACCAGGAGACGGGCGGCCAGGGAGTGCCGAGATGGGCGGGCAAAGGGTGGGTGGGATCCGGGCGCGGGGGCCAGTCCTGGAGGAGCTCAGCTTAGCGACCCTCCAGCTGCGGGACAGCCCTGAGGCCACCACGCCCCCCACCTCAGTGCAGGCTCCGCCCCCCGTGCTGAATGTGCGTGTCCATCATCCTCCTGAAGCTTCGGTTCAAGTGCACCGCATCGAGGGACCGAATGCAGAGGGCCCAGCCCCTTCCCAGCACCTGCTGCCTCACCCCAAGCCCCCGCACCCGAGGCCACCGACCCAAAAGCCACTGGGTCGCTGCTTCCAGGATACACTACCCAAGCAGCCGGTGAGTGAGTCCACAGTTCCAACAGAGCAGCACTTCTAACTCATCAGGATCACTGTGTGCAACTATTGAGTGTCCCAGGTTGGGGCTTAGGGTCGGGGGAGGGGGGAGGAAAGAGGCCTCCAGAGGGGAGGCAAGTGGGGCGGGGCGCTTTGTGATCTCTCTACATCGCTCCCTCTAGTGTGGCAGCAACCCCCTGCCCGGCCTCACCAAGCAGGAAGACTGCTGCGGTAGCATTGGTACCGCCTGGGGACAGGGCAAATGCCACAAGTGCCCACAGCTGCAGTGTGAGTACCCAGCTCTGTGGGGCATCTCCTATATGATGACCCAGCCATCTTTCTTCCATCTCTGCAGTAGGAGTCCTCTCTGTCCCCTCCCAGTACCCTCTTTTCCCTCTGGCAGACCCCCAGTGATCCCCTACCTCATTGTCAGCCTGTCTTTTCTCTGCAGACACAGGAGTGCAGAAGCCAGGACCTGTCCGTGGGGAAGTAGGTGCCGACTGCCCCCAGGGCTACAAGAGGCTCAACAGTACCCACTGCCAAGGTGTGGCCAGCCAGAGAGTCTGTGGATTGTGGGGTGGGCAAGGTCACTGGGGTAGGGTCTCAAGGTGGGACAGAAAGGTGGCTAAGGTCGAACCCTGAGATTCTTGGAGCAGCTTGCTGCCATCCTGTAGCCCAGACTACAGGGATCAAATGACTTACCACAGACATCAATGAATGTGCAATGCCTGGAATGTGTCGCCACGGTGACTGCCTCAACAACCCTGGCTCCTATCGCTGTGTCTGCCCACCTGGCCATAGCTTGGGCCCCTCCCGCACACAGTGCCTTGGTGAGACTTGGGAGTTCCTGGTCCTGGGAAGTCACCAGGCATGGGTGGGAGGGGTGAAGGTCACAAGAAGTTAGTGTGGAGTCAAGCGTTAATGGCAGAATATAGGATCAGTGATCAGGGGTACAGGGGTTGCATAAGATCTGAGGTTAGAAGTCACATGGGATCAGCGTCCTATAGATCACTAGTTAGATGGGAAGGACAAGTGATGTCCAGAGCAGCTAGAATCGGGTCAGAGGTCACATGGATTTCAGGGGGTCACATGAGGTCAGGGCCATAGATTAGATAGATAGATGATAGATAGATAGATAGATAGATAGATAGATAGATAGATAGATAGATAGATGATAGATAGATGATAGATTGATAGATGATAGATGGATAGATAGATGATAGATAGATAGATCAAGAGTTGTCAGAATCAGAGAAGCAAGGTCTGGAACAGCTGGGCAGAGGGATGTGGGCAGTGCCCTCCACTACCACTCCTGCAGCTGACAAGCCAGAGGAGAAGAGCCTGTGTTTCCGCATGGTGAGCCTGGAGCACCAGTGCCAGCACCCTCTGAACACACGCCTCACCCGCCAGCTCTGCTGTTGCAGTGTGGGTAAAGCCTGGGGGGCACGGTGTCAGCGATGTCCTGCGGATGGCACTGGTGAGCCAGAGGGCTCTAGCAGGCTGTGTGGGGGTGGGGAGGCTCTATCTGTGCCCCTGTCCAGGAAATAATCACTTCTGTGTCCACTGTCTTGACCACAGCTGCCTTCAAGGAGATCTGCCCAGCTGGGAAAGGGTACCACATCCTCACCTCCCACCAGACACTCACCATTCAGGGTGAAAGTGACTTTTCCCTTTTCCTGCACCCTGATGGGCCACCCAAACCCCAGCAGCTACCTGAAAGCCCCAGCCGGGCACCACCACCTGAGGACACAGAGGAAGAGAGAGGTCTGGCCTGACCCAGAGATTCTAGATGCACAGATAAAACCTTGTAGTCTAACCCTCTAAATTTGAAATCCCTGACCCAAACCACTGACCCCTTAGGCCTGACCATCTGACCCTGACCCCAAGATATGACTGGATTATGAGCTCCAAAGGACCTTGCTCAACCATTGCACCTTAGACCAGGCTTATAACCACTTAAAAAAAAATAAAATAAAATAAAAATACCCTACTCCCAGGATCTAACCCCTGACCCTTGGTCCAGAGGCATGACATTTGAACACTCAGAGACCCACCATAACCATATAGTCCTAGCTGTTGATCCCAGACCTGACTGCTTCTCCCCCCATCTCCCGTCCCCCACTAACAGTTTCCCACCCGCTTCTCTTTTAGTGGTGACTACGGACCCAGTGAGTACAAGAGCCCAAGTGGAGGGTGGGCAGGCAGGGGAGCCAGGGAGGGTTCATACACCTGTCACCTGCAGCCAGTGAGTGAGGAGCGGCCAGTGCAGCAGAGCCACCCCACTGTCACCACCTCTCCTGCTCGGCCCTACCCAGGTGAGCTGAGCACTGCAGTGGGGAGCAGGGGGTATCTTCAGGGGCTAAGTCACCTGATGGTGCTAGGGTAACAGTAAATTCTGAGTGATGAAGTCCGGGTGTGGCCTACAGGGTGGGAGGCTCAGTCACTCCTTATTCCCTGACAAGTCTGTGCCTCTGCCTGTAGAGCTCATTTCTCGACCTTCGCCACCTACTGTGCACCGGTTCTTGCCAGACTTGCCTACCTTCCGAAGTGCAGTGGAAATTGCCCCCACTCAGGTCACAGGTAAGGCCTGCCCAGCAGGGCCACGTCCTACATAGGCCAGACACCCAGCTTAGTTTTTTCTTCCTCCCATCATTCCCTAGTCTAACAGGCTAACACTTGCCCAGAGCTGGGTGCTGGGGAAGTTCTGGTGAGCAGCAGAGATCCCACTTTGCCCTCTACTGGACCTGGTAGTATGGTACTCAGTGAAAACAGGGTATTCGTCCATTTAACTTACATTTATGGAGGCCCTACTATGTACCATACTGCTCCTGTGGAGGTGCTGGGGATACCGCAGTGAACAAAAGCAAGTCAAAATTGCCTGTCCTTGCAGAGCAGACAAAAACAAAAACAAAAAACCAGATCTAGCCAGGTGTGGCTGCTCACACCTGTAATCTCAGTACTCAGGAGGCAGGAGGATTGCCTAGAGTTCAGGGTCAGCCCGGCTATAATATGAGACCCCCCCTCAAAGCACATCAGTAATTAAAGTTTAGAGTCTCATATGCTATTAAAAAATGTCAGAGAAAAAAGAGGAAGTCTGAAGGTTGTAATACTATGTTGGGTGTGTAGGGTTTTAAAGATTGCTAGAAATTGAAGAGAAGTGGAAAAGGGAGAGGCATTGGGTTGAGAACATTCCAGGGAAATTAAGTCTGGGGAAAGGCTTAAAAGTATGAATCATTGGTGGAGGAGGGAGAAACCACACTGAACCAAGGGACGTGAACCAAGGTCAGTGCAGGGAGCCTCGTTAACAGCTTGGGTTTGATGCCAGAGGTTATGGGAAGTATCTGCACAGATTTGAGCATCGTCCTTGCCAGCGCAGACTCTGTGCCAGGCTCTGTGTGACGAGCCCTACGTACTAAATATTGCTTCACTTTCTATCTCTGAAGCGAACAATGATTGCCTCATTTTCAGATGAGAAACAAAGCTGAAGCTCAGAGAGGTGTTTAGTAACTCACCCCAGGTGAGCCAGAGACAAGCCTGTGTCATGTGGACTCCAAAGCCACATTCATCAAACTTGACTGTAACCCAAGGCCTAGATGAGCTCCTAGGATGAGGGCTCAGGTGGAAGGCTGACTGCCCTGGGGACTGTGGAGGACAAACAAGGTGCCTAGGGAGGGTAGGAAGGAAGCTTATGGGCAAGTACTTCAGACAGAGCAGCCTGCAAAAGCCAGGTATGTTTGGGGCAGAGCAGAGTTCAGCATCACCCTGGGCTGGAGAGGGTAGGGATCAAAAAAGAGGGAGAGGAAGAAACGGAGTTCTGGGCTTCGCCACCAAGAGGATCTGGGAAGGCATCCATCTCACCATATGGGCATAGCTGCGGCACAGGTTAAGGTTCCCTAGGATAGGGGCTTTTGTCAACCATTGGAGAATAGAGGGCCCTGGTCCTTGGGGGCAAGAAGTCACTGACAGAGGATATTGTTACTGCAATTGAGGCTACCAGGCTTAAAGTATTGAGGTGGCTGAGGAGAATGGGGCCGGGGTGGGGGGGATTTCAGACAGAGACCTTTGGGTATTGAGAAGATTGGGGCACTAAGGGAGATGTGGTTTGAAGCGACTGGGGTCAGTCTTTTGTAATGCTGGAGATGGAAGTAACTGGTCATGGGGTGGTGACAGGGATATCAGGGATCTGGGGTCCTGGTTTGGGATTTTCTGGCATCAAGATATTAGGATTATCTAAAATGAAGATTTAGAAACTCCTAGGATTTGAACACGAGTGTGCAGGAGGTCACCGTGTGAACTGGCTCAGATATCCTGGTCAGTAGGACCAGGTGTCAGCATCTCCCTTGGGGGTGTGGCAGAAAGCCAGTGTTCCCTGAGCAGCCCCCTAACCCGCTCTGCCATGCTACAGAGACTGATGAGTGCAGATTGAACCAGAATATCTGTGGCCATGGACAGTGTGTCCCTGGCCCCTCGGACTACTCCTGCCACTGCAACCCAGGCTACCGGTCACATCCTCAGCACCGCTACTGCGTGGGTAAGTGGGTGCGAGGATAAAGGAGCTAAGGGTGGGGCAGGAAAGGAGCACTCAGGCAGGTAGCCTCGGGCAGCCAAGCCAAGTGCTAACTTGCCTTTAATGTCTCCTGCCTGTCCTATCAGATGTGAATGAGTGCGAGGCAGAGCCTTGCGGCCCAGGGAGAGGCACCTGCATGAATACTGGTGGCTCCTACAACTGCCACTGCAACCGCGGCTACCGCCTGCACGTGGGCGCTGGGGGCCGCTCATGTGTCGGTGGGTGCCGCCAGCCTGGGGCTAGGTTGGGTTTACTGGGAGGAATGGGCTCTCCTCTCAGCTGTGTCACACCCCTGATCTGCCCCACTCACCATCACATCCCCTTTCTTCTGCCCAGACCTGAATGAGTGTGCCAAGCCCCACTTGTGCGGCGATGGAGGCTTCTGCATCAACTTTCCGGGTCATTACAAGTGCAACTGCTACCCGGGCTACAGGCTCAAAGCCTCCCGACCGCCCATGTGCGAAGGTGGGGGGACCCGTCCAGACCGAAGGGGGGTTCCTCAGCCGTCCCTCGGCTGGGGATGGGGGTGGGAGGCTTGCATCCATCTCTACCCATTTCTGATCTTCGCAAATTGGGGTCCGGGAACCGAAAGAGTCCATTTTGCCTTGATTTGTAACGGAGGGAGGAGCAATGGAGGATCATGAGTGCTGGCCCAGCCACGTTGTCCCCAGACTTGTCCCCCCCCCCCCCCACCACGCAGACATCGACGAATGTCGTGACCCTAGCACCTGCCCTGATGGGAAATGCGAAAACAAACCTGGGAGTTTCAAGTGCATCGCTTGCCAGCCGGGCTACCGCAGCCAGGGGGGCGGGGCCTGCCGCGGTGAGGGCGGATCCGGCACCACCTGGAGTGAGGGTGGGGTGGGGTGGAGTGGGGTGGGGTGGGGTGTGGAACCCGGCTGGCCGCTGCTAGGGGAGCCTCGAGGGCGGGATCTCCTGGATGTACAGCCCCCTACAGCCACTGGGGAGGAGAGCCTCACCCCACCTGCACTCACTGTGCAATCTGAAGCCAGCTCTCCCTGCTGCAGACATCAACGAGTGCTCAGAGAGCAGCCCCTGCTCTCCCGGGTGGTGCGAGAACCTGCCGGGTTCCTTCCGTTGCACGTGCGCTCAGGGTTATGTGCCGGCCACCGATGGTCAGAGTTGTGTGGGTGAGTACCAGCATGCTCCTCAGGCCACCCTCCACCTGCTCACTCCTGAAAGTCAGAGAGTGAGTCACCCTGTAAAACTGGTGGATGGGAGGGGATTAATTCATCCACCAGCTCACCAACCCAATGGGTCATTTCCTCAGCGAAGGGGGTTGCATGGTTAACAGGCTTGAAATTTCTCTCCTAAAGCATGTTATTTAATCTGAAGGAAAAGAAGATATATCGAGGGAATCATTAGTCCTCTTCCCAATGAGAGTGTTTATTATGCACCAAGAGACAGAATTCAGAGAAACTGGGGAACGTGACACTTTAGACTGCAGGGCCAAGGGACCTGAAGGAAGGAGGCCTGATTTTCTTTAAAAGGCCATAGGGATTAGCCAAGCAAAGAATGGATGGATGAGTGGGATGAAAGTAGTGGCCTGGGATGCTGTGAGATTGTGCAATATTAGAACAAATTGCCTGGGCTCTGCTGGCTGTCAGGATGAGGGAGAGCTGAGTGATGGACCCTTCAGGTGTCTGACACAGTTTGCTGCTCACTGGGATAGGTCCCTGGGAATGGGCCCCTTTGACAGGGAAGATGCTGAGCTCCATGTTGGACAAGCTGTGTTGCATTGTCCCTGTGGGTCTCTCAGCCAGAGATGACAGTAGAGGCTGAGCTATGTGGGTTCGGAGTCTTGGGCCAGACATGCCTATCTGGAACCATGGACCATGGACTGTGGGGACTACAGAAGGTTGAGATGGGCCTACTTAGCCAAGGAGGTAGGGTCACATAGGGGAGCATCTAGCAGAGCCTTGTGGACACTGATACTCAAAGGCAGGTGGGGGTAGGATCTTCAGGTAATGGGAACGGTAGAAGGGACAGTAGACAGTGGGTAGGTACACAAACACCATCTGAGAAACTGGGGAAACACAGAAGAATGGGAAGAGGGGGAGGGTGTCTCTGGTGAATGGATGAAGGATGGGAAGACCTGAGCTCATTAGTATCAGACATGGCCCAGGAACCCTGGAAGCACCTGGCTTGGACAAGCATGCACAGTGTATTATGTGGGGGCAGGGTGAGGACCCCATGCTTTGCAAGAATTCTGCTGGCCTCAGCTCTGTGCTCCAGGCAAATGGGCAGCCTTGGGAAAACGATAGCTGAGGCCTGAGGCCACCTCCAGCCTGGCCCTCCATCACTCTCCTGTGCCCTGCAGATGTGGATGAGTGTGAGGCTGAGGATGTGTGTGACAACGGCATCTGCACCAACACGCCCGGCTCCTTCCACTGCCAGTGCCTTTCTGGCTACCATCTGTCAAGGGACCGGAGCCACTGTGAGGGTGAGGGGTCCTACAGCCTGGGTGCTGGCCTGTTCCTCCCTACCCCAGGATCTCTGCTGCCCAGGTCTAGTCCCCATCCAGATCCCAGATGTGGTGACCAAGGGCTCTGGGAGTGGGGGGGGGGGCTTAGGCAGCCTCAGGCTATATGTATGGGGTCAACCAATGAGATTCAGCAACCCTTTGGCCTTCTACAGACATTGATGAATGTGACTTCCCTGCGGCCTGTATTGGTGGTGATTGCATCAACACCAATGGTTCCTACAGATGTCTCTGCCCCCAGGGGCATCGGCTGGTGGGCGGCAGGAAGTGCCAAGGTAATGAGCTGGCTGAGGGTTCCTAAAACGAGTGGAGGGCAGGGTAATCCTGTGGACATGGGATTTGTGGCCTTCTGTCTATCCATCCATCCAACATCCATCTTTCTACTTGTTTAATGACAAGGATAAATGGCAGCATCTCTGTGTCTCACTAGGTGCAGGCATTCTGCCAGCTCTTTAGAGATGCAGTAGTCTAACCCATCAACTCACTTGCATGTGCATTCACCACCACCAAGAGATAGTTGTACACTCCGATTTGCCAGGTTCTGTGCTCTGTACTAGGTGTTTCAGCAACGACCTTGGGCTCCCACATTGAAGGGGGGGCATGTAAATGGACTCTTAGCTTCAGGGTGCAGGTGCCAAGAAAAGTTTGAACTACTAGTTAACAGGAGGTGACTATGGACTTGAAGCATAAAGGTGGTGTTCTAGCCCCAGGAACGGCATTTGCAAAGTTCCTGGTTGTGTGGTGAGTGGACAACTGCCCGGAGCAAAGGGTTGGAACGAGTCAGAGTGATGGAGCTGAGCATGATGGCATGTGTCTGTCAGCTACTCAGGAGGCTGAGGCAGGAGGACTTCAAATTCAAGACCAGCTTAGGGTACATAGACAGCAAAAATGTGATGGGACTAAAAGGTGGTGGAAGACCAGATTGAAGGTATTCAAGGGCCAGTGGAGGACCAAAGGGTTTACAAAGGCTGACAGCAGTGAACATCACCCACACAGATAGACCATAGGAGAATTCTGTGACATGCACTTTGAGACCTAAGTGGAAATTCAGGTTCTGAACATGTGAGAGGCCTTGAGGCACACCCCAGGGAAAGAGGGGCTGGGTCTCCCCAGAGCCACATCTGCCCTTGCTTCTTGATCTCCTTGTACCACCCAGATATAGACGAGTGCAGCCAGGATCCAGGCCTGTGCTTGCCTCACGGGGCCTGTGAGAATCTCCAGGGCTCCTATGTTTGTGTCTGTGATGAAGGTTTCATGCCCACCCAGGACCAGCATGGCTGTGAAGGTGAGTGTATGTGACTAGATAACCCCCCCCACACACACACCCCACACAGCTGGGACTCAGAGATGTGTCCTGGTCCTATCTTCTGAATTCTGGGAATAGGAAGAAGTCCTCTTTGCCCGAGGGGAGTGTGGAGGGGCCAAACCTCTCACACAAAGAGCAGAGCCAGGGAACCTGAAAGAGGGCGATGCCGGTGGTGGGTACATTAGACAGAACCGAAGCAATGTGTCTGCATGTCCTTGAGCCGTCATTTCCTCCTCAGAGGTAGAGCAGCCCCATCACAAGAAGGAGTGCTACCTGAACTTCGATGACACAGTGTTCTGCGACAGTGTATTGGCCACCAATGTCACCCAGCAGGAGTGCTGCTGCTCACTGGGGGCTGGCTGGGGAGACCACTGCGAGATCTATCCCTGTCCAGTCTACAGCTCAGGTCAGGAGCTGGGCACGCAGCTCCCGTAGATGCCCAGTTTGTTCAACAGGAGGGCAAATGGGGGGTGTGTGTGGGGGAACATGGTTTCCCCTGGGTAGTTGGGAAAAATGAGAACTTCCAGGTGGAGACTGATGTGTGGCAGGTGCTTAGTCCTGCCTCTTTTCCTGCCTTGCAGCCGAGTTTCACAGCCTCTGTCCGGATGGAAAGGGCTACACACAGGACAACAATATTGTCAACTATGGCATTCCAGCCCACCGTGGTAAGCTCCGCCCTGGCTTGGCTTGCCGCTGCTGCTTAGGTCCGGCAGTCTGGCACCGGCTCAGCCCCGCCCCAGTAGTCCCCGCCTCTCCTGGGATGCCCGGCCCAAGCGTGGGAGCCTAGGGACCTGGGCCTCCTAGGAAGCACAGGCGTCTGGGCACCCACGCTGCGTCACCCCGCAGACATTGACGAATGCGTGTTGTTCGGGGCGGAGATCTGCAAGGAAGGCAAGTGCGTGAATACGCAGCCGGGCTACGAGTGCTACTGCAAGCAGGGCTTTTACTACGACGGCAACCTGCTGGAGTGCGTGGGTAAGAGCAGCAGGTCCCCGAGTGATGGGGGTCCAGCATCATCCGGGAGACGCCCAAACTGCTCGGACTCCCGGCCTGCCCGTGTCGCCAGCTATCTTCCTCCCCACAGACGTGGATGAATGCTTGGATGAGTCCAACTGCCGGAACGGAGTGTGCGAGAACACGCGTGGAGGCTACCGCTGCGCCTGCACGCCGCCCGCGGAGTACAGCCCGGCGCAGCGCCAGTGTCTGAGCCCGGAAGAGATGGGTGAGGCCCGGGTGGGCAGCTGCAGAAGCCGGAGGGGGCGGAGCCAGGTTGAGCTGTGATGGATACACGCCCCGCCCCCTCGATGCCGGGGTCAGGTCACGGTGGAGCCCTGGGAGCCCACAGCACAACAGGTGGGGTGGAGGAGGCAGGGTGCCCGCGCCCCCGGCTACCACCTGCTAGGAGGGTCTTCTTCCGCAGAGCATGCCCCGGACCGGCGGGAAGTGTGCTGGGCGCAGCGTGGAGAGGACGGCATGTGCGTGGGGCCCCTTGCCGGGCCCGCCCTCACTTTCGATGACTGCTGCTGTCGCCAGGGCCGCGGCTGGGGAACCCAGTGCAGACCGTGCCCCCTACGTGGCACTGGTGAGCTGCCCCCCCATGGGGGGGTCGAACCTGAGTACACCGGGGTGGCTGACTCTGTCCCATCTTCTAGGGTTCCAATGCCCGACTTCGCAGAGTGAGAGCAATTCTTTCTGGGACACCAGCCCACTGCTCCTAGGGAAGCCTCCTCGAGGTGGGTGAGGTGGGGGTGGGCACAGAGGCTGCTCAGGAGGTTGTCGGCTGGGGCAGAGTTCACAGCCTATTCCTCTGGCATAGATGAGGACAGCTCGGAGGAGGACTCCGACGAGTGCCGCTGTGTGAGCGGCCGCTGCGTGCCTCGGCCCGGCGGGGCGGTGTGCGAGTGCCCGGGCGGCTTTCAACTGGACGCCTCCCGAGCCCGCTGCGTGGGTGAGCCGGGCCGAAGGAGGGCAGGAGCGGGTCGGGGTGGAGGGTGGCACCATGCTGGGACTCCCGGCAAAGCCTGCATTTGACACCCCCGCCCCTGCAGACATCGATGAGTGCCGAGAGCTGAACCAGCGCGGGCTGTTGTGCAAGAGCGAGCGCTGCGTGAACACCAGCGGCTCCTTCCGGTGCGTCTGCAAGGCCGGCTTCACGCGCAGTCGCCCACACGGGGCCTGCGTGCCACAGCGCCGCCGCTGACGCCGGGGCCTGCCTTTGGCTGGTGATGCCGAGGGTTTTCTTCGCTGAGAGAGGAGACGAACTGCATCTCTTGCTCCTGCCCCATATCCAGGCACGGACCCAGGGATCCTTCAGGGCCCACAGACCCTTCCCGTACCCCAACACCCGAGGGTGCTTCTGTGCAGAGGGCTGCCTGCCATCCTCGCTGAGGACCACGCCTAGAAACTGTTAAGTCAGACCGTGCCTTTCTAATTTACTCTTGGCTTTCAAAGCAAATTGATGCTCACATCGCAGTTGGTTGGGGACTGCAGCGCCAGACCCCACTGCCTGGGAGGGGCTAGATTGAGCCCAGGACTCAGATGTGAAATAGAATTTATTGTGGTTCCGATTATGTACACGAGATGGGCCTGGCCTGGCTTGGCCTGGCCTGCCGGGCTCACATGGTTTGTACAATAAATACATCCGCGGGGCCTGCTCTCCAGTGGTTGGAAGCGCCCACCCCCAGGGTTCAGTCCAGCTTCCGGGCTCCCAGCTTCATAGGCCCCTTGGTGGCCTTTTTCTCTGCGCGTTTGGCTTCTATTTCCTTCCTGCGTTCCTCACGCTTTTTCCGTGCCAGCTCAGCCTTCATCTGTCCTGGGACCAGGAAGTGGAGGATGGCTCAGCTCTCTACTTCCACATCTGCTCTACCCTTTCCCACCCAGGCCACAATCCAAGTCTGTCAGCCCCTCCAGGGGAAAAACTTACGGCTTTCAGCCTCCAAGCCTTCCCAGTTGTCTTCACCCCATGAGTCTGCGTCTGGCCTGGGCTGAAAAGGGAAGTGCAGGCTATAGGGGGTCGAACACCCAGCAGCAGTCCATCCCAGATCAACTCCTAGCAGCTCTCAGTGGGCCAGTACCTGGGCACTGGGACGTACAGATAGGGCAGCAAAGGGGTCACCCTTGTCACTGGGCTCTGCACCACCCCAGTTATACTCGCTGGCCAGCCGGGTGCCTTCAGGGGCTGGCTCCAGGGAGCTGGGCTCCTGCCAGCCCTGGTCCCAAGAACCCTCTGCTTCCCAGCTGCTCCAGTCTGACTCAGGGGATTTGTGGTCGGGGTGGCTGACCTGTAGAATGATGGGAAGGATAGGGAGGCTGGTAGGGCAAAGGTCCAGGTCCTGCCCTACACATACCCCCTTGCTGAACCCAGCTCACCTGTCCAGCTCCGCTCCCTTGGCCCCTGGCACTCCAGTCATCCTGCTGAGCCAACACAGATTCAGCCTCTTGCTGGAGGGTGGGGAGGAGGGAGGCAGGATCAATGACCATTCTCAACCCACAAAAGGACAAGCGTGCTGGTGCAGCCCCTCCCAGCCATGGGTTCCACCCTCTGGTCTTTTACCTTCCTTCTCTACTTTCCTGACTATGAAGCTGATAGTACCTGCTAGCTTCCCAAAGGCTAGGTCCTCCGACAGCTCTGGCAGCCAGGTTAGGAAACCGGCATGGAGCTCTGTGCAGTTCTCTTCAGGGCAGCCTTATTTCATACTTGGCCGCACCCAGGAGACCCAGTCTGTTTCTAAGCCTGGGGGTGCCTCTCTTTGCTGATCCTGGGACTGGGAGGGCACTAGGGCAAGTAGACGATGGCCAAGATACAGAGAATGTCAAGTTCTGTGGGCTTTTCAGCCACTGCCTGCCAGCCCCCTCTTCCTACCCTGCTTCCGGGGCACCCTGGAGGTGAGTAGGGTCTCTCAGCTGCTGGCTCTGACTTATGGCCATCTCCATGAGGCTCACCTGCCAGGATGCCATGCAGATGCGGACAGGCCCAACTCTAGCCATGTATACCTCTGAAGGACCTGGGTCCTTGTATACTCCTTTAAAGGATGACCCATAGCTGATGATCCCTGTAAGCCTTCAATCCTACTCACCTCTAAGCTGCCCCAGTCTTCATCATCCCATCTGTCAGCAGCAGAGCTATCCTCTGCTGTGTCCTTGTCCTCTTCCTGTGTCTCCCAGTGGCTTGAAGTTGCTGGAGTGTCTGGAACGGGAGCAGGGGCTGGCGCCGGATTTCCTGGGGAACAAAGTCCTAAGCTTTCAGGGAGAACTTGGGGTAGGGTAGAGGGGAAAGGGCAAAGGGGAAAGGAATACAAGGATAAAGGGTTCCAAGGAGGCCCAAAGGTACAGTAGACCTCACCCTATGGCAACTGTCCCTCTCAGCCACTGATGCAATGAAGCTGGGATACTCACCCTCTGGCACTGGTCTCTGGGGCACACTGGTCTCAGCTGACATAGTTGTGGGGTGTGCACGGATCAGCTTGGAGGTGAGTGAGGACACCCCAGTCACAGCCCAGCCTGCCCAGCTGGCCGCAGCTCCTCCTGTCCCAGGGCTGGATGCTGCATGGACATCCTTCTCTGGACAGTGCAAGAGAGGCAGGCAGGTGTGGGCACCTAGGGCTTTGTGGGGATGTGACAGAGGGCCAACTCTCTATCACAGTTGTCTGTAGCTACCCCTTCCTTCTCTAGGCCCAGGTCCTCCCAGCTATGAAATGGGAGGCAGTCTGCTCACTAGGGTTTTTCCAGCTTTCAGGTGCTCCCATGAGGTGGGACATTCCAGGTGACTGTCAAGGACAGGCAGGGAAAGAGAGAACATGAGTGGGCCACTTACCCACTTCTGTCAGCTGGGAGGGATCCTCTGACACAGATTCCAGTTTGGACAAGAAGCTTCGTATGGCCTTAAAAGCCTGTGGGGTGGCAAGGGGCTGAGTAGGTGCTCCAGTATTCTTGAGAACCTGCCACGCAGCTGGGGGCCTGGTTATCCCCAAAGCCTCACCCCAGAGTCCAGCCTAGCTGGGCCTTACCTGGTCCCGCACAGATTTCTCAGGGTCCACAGTGAGGCTGCAAAGCACAGGCAAAATCTTGTGGGCACAGTCATTCAACGAGTAGAGGTTGTGTGTGGCGGCAAAGCCCAGGACACCCGCAACTCTGGATGGTGCAAACGGGTCCTTAGTGGCCCGGCTGAAGGCAGAGGTGAGGACCCTGTGTCTAGTCTGAGGGCCCAGATGGATAGGGAGAGAATTTATGAATGCATAGGATCAACACTGGGCCCCAAACCACCAGATCTTCACAGGACCAGGACCATCCATGGAGTCCCCATGATCTAAAAATGTGAATCTAGCATATGCTATTTATTTTCATTTTATTTTTTTGAGATGGTGTCACTAGGTAGCCCTGGCTGGTTTAGAACTTACTATGTAGACCAGGCTGGCCTCACAGAGATCCACCGGCCTCTACCTCCCAAGTGCTGGGATTAACGGCATGGCCACATACAATTTAAAGGAGGAAGATTAATATGAATTTAGGCTTTTCCCAGACCATCAGGCTCCATATTGCTTTAAGACAATAGGGCCAGAGCAACTCTCCTGGGGCCAGGCGTTCCCCTTCTTTCCTCCCCTCCTATTGACCCCATTCATTCATTCCTTGTTAACTGGGCTGGACAGAGTTCAAGTTCATAGACCTTGATTGAAGGGATGTATGCAGATGTGGAGTCAAGCAGACCCAGGTTCAGAACACAGATCTTCCTCCTTACTGGCTCTGTGCTCTATAAGTGACTCCACCTCTGCAGGCCCAGACATTGGGGCTGACTGACCAGGGGCTGGGCCTTTGGGGGGACAAGGACCCAAACACACAGGCTTTGTGGCCCCAGAGACTGCAGTCCTTCCCCAGCTATGTATAGGGCACTCACACTAGCACTGAGGTAGGAGCCGATTTTGCCCAGGCAGACCGTGGTGTTGCAGCGGATAGGACCCTGATCGTCCTTGGCTTGCAGCCGTGCAAAGTGCTTCATCAGCTCCACATTGAGGTTGGCCTCGTTCAGCTTCGGGGCCAAGAGCAGCATGGACTGTAGGGTGAAGGGAACAGTTGGCACTGTGAGTCAGGGCAAGAATGGCCGCACAGAAGAGTGCTGGGCTACTGGAGAGCTTTGGCTTTGAGCAGACCTGCCAGGCCCAATACTACTCAGCATATTAAGAAGGGAGCCCCCCATTTCTGTCTCCCCTTTATAGCAAGACCTCAGAGGGTTGCTCACACTCTGGGCTCCATCTCTTCTCTGCTCTCCTGCCTGTGGGTCACTCCCCTCAGAACTGCATACCAACACCCCTGCTCCCAACTCTACCAAACTGATTTGTTCAGGCTGAGGTCACTGATGACCTCCAATTTGCTGAATTTGTTCAGGCTGGCCTTGGACTTGTGATCTTTTTTCTTCAACCTTCTGACTGCTAGGATCACAAGCATTCAGCACTAGGCCTAGCATCAAGCTCCCAAAATGATTTTTCAAATTGCAAATTTAATAGCTGTTCTGTTGTGGTGACAAACATGGACCAAAAGCAACTTGGGGAAGAGAGGGTTTATTTTATTTATTTTTTTATTTTATTATTTTGGTCTTTTTGAGACAGGGTCTCCCTGTAGCCCCAGCTGTCCTGAAACTCACTATGTAGACCATGCTGGCCTTGAACTCACAGAGATCCACCTGCCTCTGCCTCCCGAGTGCTGGGACTAAAGGCGTGCGCCACCACGCCCAGCTCTGATTAGTTTTTTTTTAATTATTATTACTTATGCGTACGTATGTGTGTGTGTGCATATGCCACACGTATGAGGCACCCATGGAGGCTGAAGGGGGCATCAGATCTCTTGCAGCTGGAGTTACAGTTAGTTGTGGGCCCCTCAATGTGGGTGCAGGGAACGGAATTCAGATCCTCTGGAAGAGCAGCAGTGCTCTTAACCACTGAATCATCTCTCCAGCCCCTCCTGATTAGTTTTTATGGTCAACTTGGTCAACTTGATATAACCTAGAGTCACCTGGGAAGAAAGACCCTCAAATGAGGAATTTCTGAGATCATAGCCCCCATAGGCATGTCTGCAACAGGGCATTGTCGTTATTGCTGGTTCACTAGGAGAGCCCAGTGTACTGTGGGCAGTTCTATCCCTAGGCAGGTGGTCCCAGGCTTTTTTTTTGGTCTTTTTGAGACAGGGTCTCCCTGCAGCCCCAGCTGGCCTTGCTATCTAGACCAGGCTGGCCCTGAACTCAGAGATCTGCCTACCTTTGTCTCCCAAGTGCTGGGATTAAAGGCATGTGCCACCATATCCAGCGGTTCCAGGCTTTTTAAGAAAGCTAGCTAGGCCAGGCATGCCTTTAGTCCTAGCACT